GGACACTTTTTGTGGTGAGCCTGGTGGGATTATTTGACTTTTAAACTTTGCGTGTGTGTGTGTGCGTGTGTGTGTATGTATATGCAATTGGAGTAAAAATAAACCATGGCAGTGTAGAAATGAAATGAGACAAATAGTGAGTCAGGGATAAATGCTCAAAAAATGGTTCTAGGCATTTGGTATATTGAAATATACTGAGAAGTATCTGGGAAATGTGGTATATGGGAAAAATTAAGTTAGATCCATGCAACAAATGCGAAATAACTTCCAAATGGGTTGAAGATAAGAATAGTAAAAGCCAAACTGTACATCTTTGAAGAAAGTTAGAGATTACCTTTAAAATCTTGAGGTAAGATTAAAAAGTGCAAATCACGAGGAAAACAGTAAGTTTGACCAAGTTAATGTACAAGCTTTCTGTTCAGTAGTGCTCCAAAGAAGATATACAGGTGGTCCAATAAGGAAATTAAAAACACCCAACATCACTAATCATTAGAGAAATACAAATTAAAACCACAGTGAGATACTACTTTACACCCGTTAGAATGGGTGTAAAATAATATCAACAAATAGAAAATAGCAGTTTTTGGTGAGGATATGGAGAAATTGGAACCCTTGTGCAATGCTGAGGGGATTGTAAATGGTGTGGCCACTATAGGGAAGGGTATAGAGGTGCCTCAAAAACATAATGATCTAGCAATTCTACTTCTGGGAATATACACACAAAAAATTGATGACAGGGAAGGAACAGATATCTGTACATCCATTTTTCTAGCAGCATTACTTACAGTAGCCCAAATCTGGTAATAACCTACATATCAATCTATGGGTGAATAAACAAAGTGTTGTGTAGTTCAGTCGCTCAGTCATGTCCGACTCTTTGTGACCCCATGGACTGCAGCATGCCAGGCTTCCCTGTCCATCACCAATTTCTGGAGCTTACTCAAACTCATGTCCATTGAGTTGGTAATGCCATCCAACCATCTCATCCTCTGTCATCCCCTTCTTCTCCTGCCTTCAGTCTTTGCCAGCATCAGGGTCTTTTACAGTGAATCAGCTCTTCGCATCAGGTGGCCAAAGTATTGTGGTTTCAGCTTCAACATCAGTCCTTCCAGTGAATATTCAGGACTGATTTCCTTTAGGATGGACTGGTTGGATCTCCTTGCAGTCCAAGGGACTCTCAAGAGTCTTCTCTAACACCACAATTCGAAAGCATCAGTTCTTCGGCACTCAGCTTTCTTTGTAGTCCAAATCTCACGTCCATACATGACTACTGTAAAAACCATAGCTTTGACTAGATGGACCTTTGTTGGCAAAGTAATGTCTTTGCTTTTTAATATGCTGCCTAGGTTGGTCATAGCTTTTCTTCCAAGGAGCAAGCGTCTTTTAATGTCATGGCTGTAGTTATTATCTGCAGTGATTTTGGAGCCCAAGAAAATAAAGTCTGTCACTGTTTCCATTATTTCCCTGTCTATTTGCCATGAGGTGATGGGACCAGATGCCATGATCTTAGTTTTCTGAATGTTGAGCTTTAAGCCAACTTTTTCACTCTCTTGTTTCATTTTCAAGAGGCTCTTCAGTTCTTCTTTGCTTTCTGCCATAAGGGTGGTGTCATCTGCGTATCTGAGGTTATTGATATTTCTCCCAGCAATCTTGATTCCAGCTTGTGCTTCCTCCAGCCCAGCGTTTCTCATAATGTACTCTGCATATAAGTTAAATAAGCAGGGTGACAATATACAGCCTTGACATATTCCTTTCCTGATTTGGAACCAGTCTGTTGTTCCATATCCAATTCTAACTGTTGCTTCTTGACCTGCATACAGATTTCTTAGGATGCAGGTCAGGTGATCTGGTATTCCCATCTCCTTAAGAATTTTTCACAGTTTGTTGTGATCCACACAGTCAAATTATAACAAATTTGACTGCTCTAGAAGTCAAACACTAATAATACAATAATATAATAGTAATATGTTAATAATATAAATATAATACTATAATAGTAATTATATATTATACTATACTATAATTATATATTATAGAATAAAATCAATTTAATAATATAATATTAATATTTCATTGTATATACAAAAGTTTCATATATGCATACAAATGTATATATTATTAATGTTCTGGGTTAAAAAGGAAGGAAACTCTGAAAAATTCTGCAGTATAGATATACTTTGAATACATGCTGAGGGAAATAAACCAGCCACAAAAGGACAGATACTTCATGATTTTATTCATTTGAGGTGTTAGAGCAGTCAAACTTCTGGGCAAAAAGTCAAATAATGCTTACCAGGGGCTGGGGTAAAGAGAAATGGGTAGGTATTGTTTAATCAGTACACAGTTACAGTTTGTGAGATGAAGATAGCCCTGGAGATGGAGGATGATGATGATTTCTAAATAGTGTGAGTGTACTTAATGTCACTGATCTGTTCTCTTTAAAAATGGTTAAACTGGTGAAAAAAAACAAAAAACAGGTTGAACAGAATAAGCAAGGTGGAGAAAAATCCACATAGTTTGCATAGTTTGGTACCAGTTGTATTAATATAAAGTTATATAACCTACAAAAATACTCTGTATAGATCATAAATATGAACTTGATAAGCAAATACAGGATAGTGGTTGCATCCAAAGACAGAAGACATAAAGCAATCAAATTTGAGAGGGAGTATCCAGGGAGCTGCCATCGTATATGTAATGCTTTCTTTAAAACTTACCATAGACATGGTAAAATTCTGGGTTTGACAAGTCTGGGTACTGGTGTGTAGGTATTTATAATGCCATTGTTTTTACTACTCTGTATGCCTAAAATTTTTTCTTCTTTCCTGAAGACAGTAGCTTGTAGAACTGAAAGAATTCTTATAAAAGCCTAATTTTTAGAAAATGACCTTTATTCTCTCAGCTCTTTTTCCTGACTCACTTAAACGGTTTCTCTGGGCATTTTTCCTGGTTCTCATCTCTGAAATTGCTCTTCCCCTTCCTGCTGAGTTGTTTTGGATGATGGGCCAAATTACTTATTCTTCAGTTCTGGATTGGCTCATATTATTGGGTCACTTTCTTTTCTGGACACCAGATGTCCCAAAAATGATGCTGGAGATGATTCTTCTTTGGAGGTTTTTATGATAAACTGGTTTCCAGAAGTCCTTCTCTTTCATTTGACTCTGTTTCCTTTCCTTGAAGCATATTCAAGTTTCTAACTCTTGCTGGAATACTGTATTCAACACACAATTTATGAATTATTGGCCATGTGAGGGGTGTGTGTGTGTGTGTTGGGTTTTGGTGGCATGATTAAAATCTATCTATGCTAACTCATTAGCTGTCTCCTAACATTTTCATCTCTTTTCTTTTTCAAAGTCTTTACCCTTTACAAGTCACCCCTTCTCTCCAAATGGGAATAATCTTTCAGAATCCCATCAATATACTTTTATAAATCAGGCATTCATAAACATAATTTATAGCAAAACAAAGGTAATCTAATGGGCATTAAGGACATTGCTTAACTTCTCCTGGGTCTCATTCTTCATTTCTAGCATATGGTGATAGCTGCTCAGTCAGCCTCACTGGATTCTTAACAAAGACTATTTAAATTATGCAGATGAAAGCACTTGGAAATTTTTAATATTACTATGTGCATGTTAATGCACATTTCTTAAGTGAACTTTCGCATGTAAAAAAATGGTAGACTATGAATGTTACATGTAGGCCTTTATAATAGTTCTCAAAATGTGATCTTCAGAGCATTGTCTCCTGGGAATGTAAATAGATGCAATGTGAGTAGTGCTATGGATAAAACATTGGGAAACACTGGGTTTGGTAAAGTTAGGCTTCTGTGCCTTTGTGCTCTCTTTATTCAGAGTATTTAGTAAGTTCATGTACTTTGTGAACTAAAAAGATTATATCAACTTAAAAATACCCCTTTGGTGGAGGGTATTTAGGTACTGTGGGAGATACAACCCAAGATATATTTTATTACTCTGAGTCTTCCAGCTTAATTTTCTAAGCTATGATTTTGGTTTTTTTAATTCCCTTGATCTTTACTAGTAATAATATTGAAATGAAACCAAATTTATTTTACTTCTGGTGTAATATATATGGCTGTTTATATAGGAAAACAAGTAATTTAAACAATTACAACTAATTGTATTTTAAATTATGTTTTTCTGTTTTAGAAGGGCTTCTAAGTTGCCAAAATATGGAAAAAAATGTTTTTAAAGCTTGTTATACCTATGTAGTTATATTAAATAGCTAGATATGCTTTTAAATAGGTTACACCTAAGAGGATAAAATCTAGAACACTGTCTTGAGAATGTTTCTAGTCACTGAATACTGAATTATTTGACATCTCAAAATCTCTAATAATATATGTGTGGATTCTGAGGTTATATTTAAATGAAAAAGTTTTCTTTAATCGATATTCTTTCCATAATCTTTATGTAGCTAATGAACTGTTTAGATTTTTTTCATTTGTCCTATTTTTTGCAACTAAAGCTCTTCTTTGCATAAAATGAAAACTTTTCTTTTGAAATATCATATTATTAAATTTATTTAAACATTTTATTTTGATGATTCCATTTTAGGCTTTCTCTCACTTATATTCTATTTAATTTTGCATGCATACATGTAAAATTTGATTTAATGATTTAACTTTATGATACATTTTCCCAATATTGATGTTCATGAATTTTGCCATATGAACCTTGTTTTATTTAATAAAATGTCATTGAAATTACCCTCCAAAATAAAGTACACCTAATTTGTTTCCTTTTTTCCTTTATTCTCATACATATAAAATTATTTGTGAGAATTTTAGACAGAAGTTATTTTTATTTAAGGAATAGTGCTAGTTGAGTAATGACGTTAAATTGTAGGTCATGGGAAATTAATGAAAGGCCTCCTAATTTGAAGTATTGTATCTTTATTTGTCCAGTGATTATTTTGTAGTATGTGTCTTAAATTGTTCTTTTATTTCATATTTTGTTTTGCTGTTTTCATTTTTCTAGCTTGTGACGAATGGAAAATACTACCGAAACCAAATCTTCATAGAGATGTCAACAGATTTGGTCACTCTGCAGTTGTCATTAATGGGTAAAAGAAGCATGTTTACCAGTCATACTACCTACATATTTTGTTACTCTTTAAGCAAATGATTGTTTGTGATCAATGGCATTGTAGTTTTATGTATCGCTTCAATACCGTGGGAGTAAATTTTGGTTCATTAACCGTTATCCTTTTTGCTTTTCTGTTTAAATTTATTTAAGGGGCAGGGGCGTATCAGAGGAAGGGTGCTGAGACAGAGCTTCAGATACTCTGTGAAGTTTTCATCCTGCCTTAATTTCTTTTTCCAGAGATCAGATCATGAATGATTTCCCTAAAAAATCAGCCTGAAGTTATAGAAAGGCTAGCCACATATTTCTATTGAGGAGAGCAAGGGAAGTGAGAATAATTAGGTTCTCATTTTGGTTCTGTCATAACTGAATGTGTGATTTTTGACAAGCCACTTAACCTCTCTGGCTTTTCCATGCGTGCATGCTCAGTCGCTTTAGTCCTGTCCTATTCTTTGTGACGTTATGGACCATAGCCTGCCAGGCTCCTCTGTCCAATGGATTCTGCAGGCAGAAGTACTGGAGTGGGTGGCCATGTCCCCCTCCAGGTGATCTTCCCGACCCAGGGATCAACTTGCATCTCTTACTTCTCCTGCATTTGCAGGCGGGTTCTTTACCATTAGCACCACCTGGAAGCCCATCTGGCCATTAGTGCCCTTATATTCACTGGGAATTTGGACTCAATGATCATTAAGTTACCTTCCTCCTGTGAGGTAGTGTGATTTTGCTATTTCTATTTCTATAAAATTCATTAATGTGGACTCATGACAGTAAACAACATGCTGGATCATCCATTAGCTTAAAATTTGTGATTCATAATGACATTTTTATAAGATCATTTTATTACTACCTTATTCTAATTATGTAAAAATTATCCAATATGATACTAAAAATAAAACTGTGTGAGTGGTATCAGTTGGGTTTTGAAATGGAAATAAGTGAAATCCAGAGTGTAAACATAAAGACTATGCTTCTCTGTTGAAAATTGTGTTTCGTTGATTTTTATTTTACTTTTTAAATAATAAAAAATATTCTTGAAGTATTTTCTGATCTTTTCCATTTCTTATATCAATAATATTTTTAGAAATGAAAATTAGGCTGTTTTGAGGCCATTTCAAATTTCTTTGGTGCTGATAGTATTAATTCAGTAATCATCTGAGCTTTTCTTTTCAAATTGAAACTTTGAAAATCTTCTTGATTATTTTATTCTTGGTCATTTTATTTTATAAAAGGATAGTAACAGTGTATAAAGAATTCTATATCCAATTTTTAATTCTTTGTATTTAAAAAATTTAATTCTATATAGCAATTCTAAAGTGTATCTTGTTATATCCATATAGCTACTATATACTTCTAAAACTGTTTCCTACCTAGATAAAAAATGTAAAATACATCTTTAAATTTATTTTTAAAACTGATTATATACTTTTTGTAAGATTCCTGTTTTGTTTTTAATAGGTCCATGTATATATTTGGAGGATTTTCTAGTGTACTCCTTAATGATATACTTGTATACAAGCCTCCAAACTGCAAGGCTTTCAGAGATGAAGAACTTTGTAAAAATGCTGGTCCAGGAATAAAATGTATTTGGAACAAAAATCACTGTGAATCTTGGGACTCTGGGAATACTAATAATATTCTTAGAGCAAAGTGCCCTCCGAAAACAGGTGAAATATTTTTTTACTTCTTTTTTGACATAAAGCATCTCTACCTGGCTTGAAATTGGAAGTGAATTCCTGCTCGTAAGAATTACTTTAATAGTTTCCAAAAATTAAAAACTCATAATCCTCTAATTAGGAATTATAACATTTGAATTTGGCAGTGATCAATAATTAAATATTTTTCTTACCTATCTTTAGTTTTCCTTTTTGAATGTGTAATAGTAATATATCAATTTTGACATGTAACATGGCCATATATATGTATGAATTATTTTTGTATGTAAGTATAAAATTCTCTCAAATACATCCTTTCTTAGATATATTGTATGCTTCAAGGAAATAAAATGAAGTAATTTATTCTGCATTTGGTACTTTTTTTCTTCCTGAATTATTGTCAAACCATCCCATAAAGCTAAAAAGCTTCTAGAATTTTGATGTCCTGTTATAACTCAATATTTCTTGTAAAACATTGAATAAATAATTCAAACTTATGAATGTGCATGCCAAGTTGCTTCAGTCGTGTCCAGCTCTTTGCAGCCCTGTGGACTGTACTCCTCCAGGCTCCCTTGTCCTGGAGGATTCTCCAGGCAGGAAAAACAGAGTGGGCTGCCATGCCTCCTCTAGGGGATCTTCCTGACCTCGGGCTCGAACCCGCATCTCCTATGTCTCCTCTTTTGGCAGGCAGGTTCTTTACAATTAGCGCCACCCGGGATGCCCTGATTTATGAAGAATTAATAGTAAATATTTATAAAGAATAATTTGGATATAAATTTTCAATTTTCTTTAAGTGAATGGGGCTTTTATACATTTTTGGTGCTACAATGAACAGATTAGGTTTTGCTAATCTATAATCAGTCAGATGTTTCTAGATAGCTTTATGAAGAATGATAAACAATGAGCATTTGTTATAATCTTTTCTTTTAAATGTATAGTAATACATTTTGTTTAATAAAATACCTCTAAATCTTTTCCTTCCTCCATAATGTGTAAATGTCAAATGATTGTAGGATCCTGATAGAGTGAATAATCAAGATGAGGGCAGGACGTATTTAAATCCCTGTAAATCCAATTAAATTACAAAACTGGCTTCATATTGGAGAACTTATTTTGATATTGATGATTACATTTATGGTTTAAAAATGTCCTCGTGATTCTCAGCAGATGTTAAAAATATGTGAATTAAGAAGTGTGACATTTTCTTTTCATCCTAATGGGTTCTCTCTCCCATTTGTATCACAGCTGCTTCTGATGACAGATGTTTTAGATATGCAGATTGTGCCAGCTGTACCGCCAATACGAATGGATGCCAGTGGTGTGATGACAAGAAATGCATTTCATCAACCAGTAACTGCAGCATGGTTAGTATTTATGGGTAGATGATGATGTAGCTAACACTGCTACTTTATAATCATTAGCTTACCTGTATCAAGACATTTAGAAAAGGGAAAGGGGAGAGACAAAATAGAATTATAGTATTAAGAGTTATAAACTACTATGTATAAAATAGATAAGCAACAAGAATATATTGTACAGCACAGGAGTTTATAGCCATTGTTTTGTAATAATGTTTAATGGAATATATAATCTTTAAAAAATGTTGAATCATGTTGTACACCTGAAACGAATTCAATATTGTAGTAAGTAAGTGAAGTCGCTCAGTTGTGTCCGACTCTGCGAACCCATGACTGAAGCCTACAAGGCTCCTCAGTCCATGAAATTTTCCAGGCAAGAATACTGGAGTGGGTTGCTGTTTCCTTCTCCAGGGGATCTTCCTGACACAGGGATCAAACCCTGATCTCTTGCATTGCAGGCAGACGCTTTACCATCTGAGCCACCAGGAAAGCCCTATAAAATTTTGTTTGCAACCTCTTGGGCTGTATAGTCCATGGAGTTCTTCTTTACCAACTGAGCTATGAGGGAAGCCCCCAAATTGTAAGCCAACTATAAAAAAAAGACATTTAGAAAATGTGTATAGCATCACTTACTTCTTGATATGTTGTTGGTCAGTCTAGATTCCATGTTGAATCCAATAACCTTTACTTTTCATGGATAAGATTGGGAAAATTCTTTCAAAACTTAATTTAAAAGAGGACTGTAACTATAAACATTGTCTTCTGTGCTGATAGAAATAGGAATGTGTAAGTAAGTATTGAAGTCACTTCTATGAGAATCTTGTCAGACATGTATTAATAGTGTTGTGACTTAGGTTTTATTTATATGCTTTGTGTGCAGGCTTAATCTGAAGTGTTGATAGTAGTAGTTTTCATTTTATCTTTAAAATCATCTATAGGTCTGTATTTTAAATTTAAAAATTTGTCTTTAGATCTATGGTTCTCTGAGTCAATTCTGTCCCCCATTGGGACATCTGGCAATGTGTATTTTTTGGTTGTTTTCACAACTGTGGGACTGCTACCAGGATCTAACATAGAGAAGCCAGGGACACAGGTAAACATCCTACAATGAATGAATAGCGCTGACACAAAAAATCATCACCTGGCTCAAAGTTTCACTAGTGATCAAGTCAAGAACCTATTTTAGGTAGACTATTGAAAATATTATAAAATTAATATTGATAGATTAAAATAGATCAAGAGGAGTAAATACTAACCTTTTAATGGATAGCATCAAAATATTCCATGTTTTTTAGATGTCAACAAATTGAAGGAAAATTTTTTTTAATTATTAAGGATTGCATTCAGTAAGATTAAAGATTCTCTTATTGGAGTGTAGCTTAAATAACTAAAAAGTTTCCATAGAGATTTTAAATTAAATATATGTTAATTTTTTCTTTTTTTGAATTTTTATTAAGCAAGAAAAGTATCCACTTGTTTTTCAAGATACCAGGCAGAGTTAACAGGTAAAGAAAAGGGAGTTTGAAAACTAAGTAAAAAGTTTTTATTATGTTATCTAAGATTTTTCTCCAGTAGCCAATCATATTTTGAAATAAAGCTTTATGCTTCTAAAATAATATTAAAAACTTAAAATGAAGGAAAACTTTGAATTATTGACTAATTAGATTGAACCCTTTTGTTTTTATACTTACTGTATTGGTGTATACTTTGCAGTGATGTATTGCTTTAATAATAATAGATACTTCAATTTTATTTGAGTTTGAATGTTAATAGAACATGACTCACTTTGAACATTTGAATTACTTTTTATATTTGCATAATATTCATCTAATGGGAGTTATACTAGTGAATAATGTGGACATGGTAGCAAAGTAAAATAAAACATGGGAATAAGGGACTAAAATGGAGAATGTCATTAGATAAGAATTGCAAGCAGATTTTATTTAAAACTTTATTTGATAACTCTAATTTGTATTTAGACATTTACACTATGTGAAAATACACGTCTCAAAAATTGTATTATGCAAATTACTATAAAGTATTTATTTTATAAAGTGGCTTTTTCCTTTAGAGTTTGGTGTTGATAATGTGTTAAAAAGGAAAGCACTGGGTGAGATAGTACAAGTGAACAGATGGAAGTCTCTTATAATTTAGACTTTGATGTAATGTGTCTTTTGGACAGTTTTATCAGAATGTCTGGTGATTAAAATAAACCAAATGCTAATAGATACAGAAGGGTCTATGAGATTTTAGCATAAATGATGTCCATTGATATTCTCTTTCATTATTTAGTCATTTTTACTGCATGTTGCATATTTCGTGCTCTAATAGCCCAAATAACTGCTTTCTTCTTGCAGATTTTCATTTTAAATTTACATCGAGATATATTAGGGTGAAGATGAGTAGAGTACTGGTTATTCTTCATAGTCTGTTTATGAATGTGCATCTGGTTCATTAGGCCAAAAAATGCCAGCCATGTTTCAGAGTAGCAGTCAGCTTTCTTCTATCATTGAATAAATTGGCCCTGTGTGTGATGGAAATACAGTTTCGTCTGTGGTACTGGCTCAGTATCGATAAATGGTTATACTGTTCATATGAAGAGCAGTAGAGTTAATTCGATGGTGACTCTACCATTGTTGTTCTAAAGATTGGCATTAAGTTCTCATTCTTTCTCTTATTCTAGTACGTTGTTCAGCCATTCTCTTGTCTGTCTTATAGGCTATTTTGTTTATCAGATGATTCAAGTAAATTGATTTGTTTTCAGTTATGTGACAAACTTTTCAAAGTATAGTAATCCTATAGAATAATACTAAGATTTATATGCTATATGAGGAAAAAAAAGCTATGAATCAGAAAAATAACATTAAGAAAATTTGCATGTTCCTAGTGAAAATGATGGTTGAATAAGACTTGCAGTACAATTTGGGCTTTCAAAAATGTATCTTATGTGATTTTTTAAAAGGAAGAGTAAGATAGAAACTTCTTCAACCATTTTTTATATGGGAAATTATAAGTAAATTTTGATTGTCAAGTTTTTTGTTTGAAAAGAAATATTTATCACCCTTACATGAGCAAGCCTGAGGTAAGAGTGTCTACCTGTGGGAAGGAGAGGGAGCTTATGATGCAGCATGTGCTTTTTTCCTTTGTGTGTGTGTTTTTTTTTTTCCCTCAAAAATGAGTTACAAGAAGAGTTGAGCTCAAAGAATCTGTTTTTCATTATCACAGGTATTGATAATATCATGTGAAATATCAAACCTTGATATAAGTAGGGAACTCACACCAAAGTTCCCATATTGCCTTTTGTTTTCTTTTTTGACCTTTAACCTTCAACCTCTTGGACCTGCAATTAGTTGAAATATGAGTAGTTGTGTAATAGGACTGATCAAAATGTAACTTTTGCAGGTTCTTTTCAACCTTTATTGAGGAAATGTGATAGATACACATAGGAGAAACATCAGTTAACCAAAATCATTATTTAATGTCTGTGGAAATAACCAAAATCCTTATTTAATGTATATGAAGTAAACTTAGTTTAAGTTATTGAGAAAATAATTTATCATTTTAGATTGTATTGGATTTTGATAAAGCATCTCTTTAACTTTTGCTACTCATTATTTCCACGTAATTCCCAGGAGTCTGCATGATAGACTGTTATGACTAGAATTCTTTGATGTGATCATTGAGAGAAATGAACAGCTTTATTCACTGGCTTTGTTTATTGAATTGGAAGCCTGTTATCAGATTCAACAGAATAGGTTTTCATTACTTGATTTCTGTTTAAGATTGTGTAATTTCCATGTTTTTTCAATAAGCATACATTCTAATTCCAGGAACTTTGCTTAAGTAAATAAATGAATAAAAATTTCTGATTCAGTAGAACTGGATTTGGTGTTAGAAGTCTGTGTTGTAAAGTTCACCACGTGATTTATGTATACGCTAAACTTCATGAGTCATTACTGTACAAAGGCGAAAGGTAACATGCTTTATCTTTTAACTTTGTAGTCTGTGAAAAACTATACCAAATGCCATGTGAGGAATGAGCAGATCTGTAACAAACTTACTAGCTGTAAAAGCTGTTCACTGAACTTGAATTGCCAGTGGGATCAGCGGCAGCAGGAGTGCCAGGCTCTACCAGGTAAAGATTTGTATTTGGTAAATCAGTTTTGTAGTCCACAGATGAATGCTATTTTTGTAAAGAACATTTAGTAAGAATATTCCATTTTCTAAAATTAAATCAGTAGCAAATAAACAACAGTATTGGAGTAAAGATAGCAGTGTTTTTACAAGAAAGATTTATACATTCATTTCCGATTAAGACTTTCAAGGTTTTTATTTCTAAAATTCTGGGATGTGGGTCATAGAGGATCCTGCTGTGATTTATGTCAGAGAGTGTTTTGCCTATGTTCTCCTCTAGGAGTTTTATAGTTTCTGGTCTTACATTTAGATCTTTAATCCATTTTGAGTTTATTTTTGTGTATGGTGTTAGAAAGTGTTCTAGTTTCATTCTTTTACAGGTGGTTGACCAGTTTTCCCAGCACCACTTGTTAAAGAGGTTGTCTTTTTTCCATTGTATATCCTTGCCTCCTTTGTCAAAGACAAGGTGACCATAGATTCGTGGATTTATCTCTGGGCTTTCTATTCTGTTCCATTGATCTATATTTCTGTCTTTGTGCCAGTACCATACTGTCTTGATGACTGTGGCTTTGTAGTATAGTCTGAAGTCAGGCAGATTGATTCCTCCAGTTCCATTCTTCTTTCTCAGGGTTACTATGGCTATTCGAGGTTTTTTGTATTTCCATGCAAATTGTGAAATTATTTGTTCTAGTTCTGTGAAAAATACCGTTGGTAGTTTGATAGGGATTGCATTGAATCTATAGATTGCTTTGGGTAGTATAGCCATTTTGACAATATTGATTCTTCCAATCCATGAACACGGTATATTTCTCCATCTGTTTGTGTCCTCTTTGATTTCTTTCATCAGTGTTTTATAGTTTTCTATGTATAGGTCTTTTGTTTCTTTAGGTAGATATACTCCTAAGTATTTTATTCTTTTTGTTGCAATGGTGAATGGTATTGTTTCCTTAATTTCTCTTTCTGTTTTCTCATTGTTAGTGTATAGGAATGCAAGAGATTTCTGTGTGTTAATTTTATATCCTGCAACTTCACTGTATTCGTTGATTAGCTCTAGTAATTTTCTGGTAGAGTCTTTAGGGTTTTCTATGTAGAGGATCATGTCATCTGCAAACAGAGAGAGTTTCACTTCTTCTTTTCCTATCTGGATTCCTTTTACTTCTTTTTCTGCCCTGATTGCTGTGGCCAACACTTCCAAAACTATGTTGAATAGTAGTGGTGAGAGTGGGCACCCTTGTCTTGTTCCTGATTTCAGGGGAAATGCTTTCAATTTTTCACCAAATGGGACCTAATGAAACTTAAAAGCTTTTGCACAACAAAGGAAACTATAAGCAAGGTGAAAAGACAGCCCTCAGATTGGGAGAAAATAATAGCAAACGAAGCAACAGATTAATCTCAAAAATATACAAGCAACTCCTCCAGCTCAACTCCAGAAAAGTAAATGACCCAATCAAAAAATGGGCCAAAGAACTAAACAGACATTTCTCCAAGGAAGACACAGATGGCTAACAAACACATGAAAAGATGCTCAACATCACTCATTATCAGAGAAATGCAAATCAAAACCACAATGAGGTACCATTATACGCCAGTCAGGATGGCTGCTATCCAAAAGTCTACAAGCAATAAATGCTGGAGAGGGTGTGGAGAAAAGGGAACCCTCTTACACTGTTGGTGGGAATGCAAATTAGTACAGCCACTATGGAAAACAGTGTGGAGATTTCTTAAAAAGCTGGAAATAGAACTGCCATATGACCCAGCAATCCCACTTCTGGGCATACACACCAAGGAAACCAGATCTGAAAGAGACACGTGCACCCCAATGTTCATCACAGCACTGTTTATAATAGCCAGGACATGGAAGCAACCTAGATGCCCATCAGCAGACGAATGGATGAGGAAGCTGTGGTACATATACACCATGGAATATTACTCAGCCATTAAAAAGAATTCATTTGAATGAGTTCTAATGAGATGGATGAAACTGGAGCCCATTATACAGAACGAAGTAAGCCAGAAAGATAAAGACCATTACAGTATACTAACACATATATATGGAATTTAGAAAGATGGTAATGATAACCCTATATGCAAAACAGAAAAAGAGACTCAGATGTATAGAACAGACTTGTGGACTCTAGGAGAAGGCGAGGGTGGGATGTTTCAAGAGAACAGCATCGAAACACGTATATTATCTAGGGTGAAACAGATCACCAGCCCAGGTTGGGTGCATGAGACAAGTGCTCGGGCCTGGTGCACTGGGAAGACCCAGAGGGATCGGTGGAGAGGGAGGTGGGAGGGGGAACCGGGATGGGGAATACATGTAAATCCATGGCTAATTCATTTCAATGTATGACAAAAACCACTGCAATGATGTAAAGTAATTAGCCTCCAACTAATAAAAATAAATGAAAAAATAAATAAATAAATAAATGGAAAAACCAAACAAACAAGTAACTGTGGAGTGATACCCCCCAAAAAAAAGACTTTCAAGGTATCTTCTGTTTATTACTGTTGACTTGATCCGAATACTTTTCAATTAAAAAATTATATCTTAAAAACATAGAAAATATTAAGTACTCAGGCTAATATCTAAATCTAACAATGTTAACATTTTAGCGTATTGGAATTAAGCGCACTTTAGTTTTTAAATTCCAGGAGCAGTTTTTTACTGACTGTTCTTTTTTTATTATAAATGGTAACATTTATAATAATTATTATATGATTCAATGAGATGCTTAAGGTCTGTAAACCAGAACAAAACTCATTTGAAAAAGAAATTTCAATTTAGTTTTTACAGTTAGCATTCTTCTTAGTAGACCCCAAAGTACTCTTTCTTTTGAATATGAAAGAGAAAATCAGAAAATAAAAACCTTGTATATATAGTTATCCATTTCCATCTTCTTGTTATATAGATAAGCTGAGACTGGTTACATATCCTGCTTAAAAAAAGTGCATGGCTTATAAATGGCAGAGGGGACTAGTAACTGGGTGTTTATCTCTGTTCAGTTTTTTGCCTGTTTCTATCTCATGATTTTTTGTTTTTTTTCCATTTTTTTCATTGAAAAATATCTGAACCTATGTAATTTTAGAAAGTGTTGGAAAATCCCATCATAGAATTTAAGTCTTCCGTATAAGTTCATGTAACAAAATAAAAATTAGATTGCCTTTAAAAGAACCATTGAGATTTTGTGATTTTGTTTATGTACTGAGCTTTTAAGCTTTTAAATAGCGATGTATGCATGTGTGTTCATTTTGAGTAATTTAGAGAATATTAATGCAGTAGGCAAGATTTGAGAAGCAATAGTGAGATGACACTAAACTTGAAAGTAATAATTTCTAAGTGTTAAAGTCTAAAAGCTACATGTAGATCAATAAAATTACTTATAAAGTCTTTTTAAAAAGACAGAGTAAATCCTGGACTAAAATAAGAGTTGACTGAAGGAATATATATGTAAAGGAATATTATTCAGTAAGAAGAGAATTTGATTACCAGTGGAAATTTGGGAAAATAATAGTGAAGTTATATTTAGTAATACTCATCTACTCTTGCCTGGGAAAATATTTTGGTTTGGCCTAAGGGTTGTACTTGACCAGGTTATTACTTTGGAGAATAAGAAATATAATAAGCTATTTTATTATACAGTAACTCCCCTTGTTCTGTATTCATATTTACTAAGAACCAGCTTGGTGTTATATGTAGTTTGGTTTCTGTTCAGCTTGTCTCAAGGAAGTGAATGCTTTAAATGGAGAACTCAGTCTGTAGTAATTGCCTTTTTCCATGAAAATTTGTGAATTGCATTTTTTCTATTGATCTCATGTAAAATTGGCAATTTGAATTTATCAAGCTTAACCTATTTAAAAAATTAACTACTATCCTAAAGTTGAGGTAAGACATCAAAACATTTGATTTAGTGCTTTGGTTTAGTTTATCCTCAAAGGCCAATGTGTTATTTGCATTTGTATGATTCATTAACCAAGTATTTTTGATCTTATAAAACAAAAGATAACCACAACTAATGTAAATCCTTCCTTGATTCAGTAAGGAAAGAAAAAGCTGAAATTTAACAAAAACTTCTGTACTGTTTTCCTTGAAGTAATTTGGTAGTTTAGATTTCAGAAGACAGGGAAGATTGCTATATGTGTAGCTTGAAAATGAAAACAGAGGTGTTTGAAGTCTTATTAAATGACTGGTGTATCGGATGCTTACTATGTTCCAAGCACTATGTGTTATTCTCATTACCTAGTTTAATAGGACAGTAGTTATTCAAGAAGCAAGGGGCCCTGTAATACTAAGATATTGTGTGCTTCTGTAATTCTCATTCTGTTACAGGTTTACTCTGTATTAATAGTTTTCCAAAGGCTACATAGTATATGATTCTAATAAATTGAATGTTATATTAAACCAACATTAAAGGAATTTGCAAAAATACAGAACAAAGCCACCCTCTTAACTCTTTTGTTCTTTGGAGACTCTAATTAAGAGAAATTAAATATGCTATTTATTTTAAGTTGTTATATATTTCCTGAACATTTTTAATGAAAAATTTCAAACATTTTTTATGAATTTTTTAATGAAAAATAGAATTGTAGTGAGGACACTCAGTACCCATGCCCTAGATTCTGCAATGCACAGTTTACTCTGCTTTATCTCTGATTTCTCTGCCTATCTCCATCCCCTATTCATTTATCAACCCATCTCAATTTTTGATGCCAATGCCTAATTTAAACCGTCAGCTTTACTTTCTCAAGGAGAAAATGTGATGATATTAATACATCTTCTTTGGGTGTGTAATAATAGCATTAAGGGGCAAGACATCCCAGAAACTGGAAGAGTAGGTTTGTAATAAAATTTTAAATGAATAAATACATGTATTTTTAAAAGATTAGTTTTAATTTTTAATATGGTCAAGCTCCATAGATATAAAATGTATAAGGAAAATTCTGTGGCATTCTCAATAATTTTTAAGAGTTTAAAGTGGTCTTGAGACCAAAATGTTTGAGAACTGCTGCTTTATAATAATTCCATAAAGACTGAACTGCTGCATCCAACCTGAAAGGGCAAGAGGCCCTGATATATTTAGTGATATGAAACTAACGGATCGTCAAGTCAAGCTTCACAGATTGGTGTGTCAATAAAACACCTCAGTGTTAATGTATCCTGGAGCAGAACTTTATATTGAATTTAGAAGTCTGTGTATTAGAAAATAGACACTGTTTTATTTATTTATTTATTTTTTTCCATTTATTTTTATTAGTTGGAGGCTAATTACTTTACAACATTTCAGTGGTTTTTGTCATACATTGACATGAATCAGCCATGGATTTACATGTATTCCCCATCCCGGTCCCCCCTCCCACCTCCCTCTCCACCCGATCCCTCTGGGTTTTCCCAGTGCACCAGGCCCGAGCACTTGTCTCATGCACCCAACCTGGGCTGGTGATCTGTTTCACCCTAGATAATATACATGTTTCGATGCTGTTCTCTTGAAACATCCCACCCTCGCCTTCTCCCAGAGTCCACAAGTCTGTTCTATACATCTGAGTCTCTTTTTCTGTTTTGCATATAGGGTTATCATTACCATCTTTCTAAATTCCATATATATGTGTTAGTATACTGTAATGGTCTTTATCTTTCTGGCTTACTTCACTCTGTATAATGGGCTCCAGTTTCATCCATCTCATTAGAACTGATTCAAATGAATTCTTTTTAATGGCTGAGTAATATTCCATGGTGTATATGTACCACAGCTTCCTCATCCATTCGTCTGCTGATGGGCATCTAGGTTGCTTCCATGTCCTGGCTATTATAAACAGTGCTGTGATGAACATTGGGGTGCACGTGTCTCTTAGAAAATAGACACTGTTTTAAGTTCAGTTTGGAGCCTAAGGATAAATCACTGTTACTGAATAGTATGTTTAAACTTTCAAAAGACCTGAAAGATTGTGTAAAAATAAATATTTGAAAGCAAAGTTTCTAGTTTCTTTATGAAGTGTAAATGAAATGTGACTTCATGCCCCATAATTATAATTAAAGAATCAAAGAACCCAGCTTACATGAAATAGTACACCTGGGCTAAGGAGATTAGTTAATCTAATTCCATAGCCCAGAGGACAGTTATTAATAGCTCCACTTGTAGGAATAACTTTGCTTTTGTTGTGTGCTGGTTATTTTTCTGCTAAAGTGATCTTGTATAAAGTGGACCTTGAGACATATAAATGTAGTAGTGATTTCACTTGCTGCAAAACCATATATCAATACACTAGATTTACACGGAAGACCTAACAGTCAACAGATTTTGACTGATGTTACAGAGCCGTAGCTTTTCTTATGTTTAATAATTAGAGAAAAAATTAGGATCTTCTATTCTTATTCTTCACCAAAATATTAGTCAAATTTTGTTTAGTATGATACAAGGATATATTTAAATTTTATCATAAAAATTATTTAAGCAAATCTAGTTGTATTTATTTAGCATTCTGAAATAATTGAAAAATACGCATGTGTTTGGATAATCAAAAAATAAGACATGATTTTTTTTTTTTTTGACTAGCTCATCTTTGTGGAGAAGGATGGATTCATGTCGGGGATGCTTGTCTTAGAATTAATTCCAGTAGAGAAAACTATGACAATGCAAAACTTTACTGCTATAATCTTAGTGGAAATCTTGCTTCATTAACAACTTCAAAAGAAGTAGAATTTGTACTGGATGAAATACAGAAGTATACACAACAGGTAACAACTATATTTGTTTTTATATGGGAATATGCTTATAATCATACAGCTATTGGCAATGAGTCATTCTTTTTGTTTTTAAATACATTATTTTTAATAAACCTTAAGAACTCACTTCAAGAGTGAATAGTCAGGGGACTCATTTCCTACTTGTATTTGGTCACATGCCCCTCCTCACAGATGGCAGTGGTAAAGAATCCACCTGCCAGTGCAGGAGATGCAAGAGATGTGGGTTTGATCCCTGGGTCAGGAAAATCCCTGGAGAAGAAATGGCAACCCACTCCGGTATTCTTGCCTCGAGTACCCCATGGACAGAGGAACCTGGCAGGTTATAATCCATGGGGTTGCAAAGATTTTGACATGACTGAGTACAGCACAGCATTTGGTAGTTTAGTAATTTTCTAAATTGCTTATCTCATGTGTTGCTCAGTAAACCATTGCATTACCTTAGCAAGAAGTCATCTCTTATGAATATACTTTAAAACTTGTGTGTATAATTTAATAATTTGTTTGAAGTGTTATTATTCTCATAACTTAGGATGTCTCTTAAAATCAGAACACTAGACCAGTATGTTGGCTGTATTTGTATGTGTGCATTTGTGTGTATGTTGTTTATGTGTATGTTCTCAGGGTTAAAATTTTGAATAATCCTCTTTGTATAGATATGCTTGAAATAATATACAAATAATTAGCTGGACTTAAACCGATCATTCAATAATGGAAGATTTGGAATATACAACACTTGGAAGCAGTTTTAATTTCCTTGAAAGCTGTTTTATGGAAAATATTTCCATAGAAATGGACTATTTGCTTGGAAATGGTATCAAATATCATTTTACAATAAACTTCTAATAGGAATCCATAGTACTTATTTGCTGTTCTTGGGATGTTAAACTATAATCAACTCTTAGGAACAGATTAAGTTGGAGATTTGGATATAATTTACTAAATGTAGTTTTGAAATATCTTAGTTCATATACTTACTTACAGTGTCTTGAAGACATTTGAAAAAATTGAGTAGATTATATTATGCGTTGTATTGTTTTAGGTGTACAACATAATGATTTGATATTTGTATTTATTGTGATACATGTTCTTGGATTTTTTTTTTTAGATTCCACATATAAGTGAGGTCATATGGTATTTTTCTTATCCTGACTTATTTCAATTTGATCTATCCATGTTCTTGCAAATGGCAAGCTTTCAGTACTCCGTGATCTCACATATACGGTGAATTTAAAACAAACAAACATCCTAAAAACTAAAAAACCAAGCTCACAGATATAGAGAACAGTTTGATATTTGCCAGAGGTAAGGATGGAGGGTGGGCAAAATGGATGAAAGCAGTCAAAAGGTACAGACTTACAATTATAAAATAAATAAGCTATGAGGCTATGATACATGATGTGATGACTATAGGGAATAATATTGTATTACGTATTTGAAATGTGCTGAGAGAGTAGATCTTAAAAATCTTCACAAAAAACTGTGTATGGTGACATACGTTAACTAGACTTATCATTCTACAATGTATACAAATATTGAATCATTATTTTGAATTCTGGAAATTAAAATAATATTATATGTCAGTCATGCATCAATTAATGGGGTTTTCCTGGAGGCTCAGACGGTAAAGAATCTGCCTGCAGTGCAAGAGACCCAGGTTCGATTCCTGGGTCAGGAAGATCTCCTGGAAAAGGGAACAGCTACCCACTTCAGTATTCTTGCCTGGAGAATCCCATGGACAGAGGAGCCTGGTGGACTACAGTCCATGGAGTCACAAAGAGTTGGACATGACTGAGTGTCTTTCACTTCACATACATCAATTAAAAGAAAAAGTATAGTCAACACTTAAGAATAGCTTAAGTAGGAGATTTAGAAATAGTTTACTAAATCTAATTTTGAAATACCTTATTTAGTTCAAATATATACTTGAAATATACTAATGTAAACTGTCATAGCATCTATAAGATTTTTGTATTTTGTGTCAAAAGTAAAATTAGAGCTCAGTATAGATTAGTTAAGTGATAAAGCTAAACAATAATAAATACCTCGTATCTGAGGTATGTACAATTTTGCCCAGTGTTTAAAATGTACACACACATATAGACCCCGTGGCCTAATAATCCACAAAGTGGCATGATTTCCATACAGCGCTTCCTGATAGCTCAGCTGGTAAAGAATCCACCTGTAATGCAGAAGAGTGCAGTTGGATTCCTGGGTCGGGAGGATCCCCTGGAGAAGGAATAGGCTACCCACTCCAGTATTTTGGGGCTTCCCCCAAAATACCAGCTCAGCTGGTAAAGAATTGGCCTGCAATGCAGGAGACCTGGGTTCGATCCCTGGGTTGGGAAGATTCCCTTGGAGAAGGGAAAGGCTACCCACTCCAGTATTCTGGCCTGGAGAATTCCATGGATTGTATATAGTCCATGGGGTCACAAAGAATCAGACATGACTGAGCAACTTTCACTAATGGAGGTATGGCAGTAATTCAAGTATTGCTTTGAAAATGGTATTAGATTTCAGTGACTTTTTTCAACCTTAGTTTATGACTTTTATTTGGGCAAGGAGTCTCTTGGTACGGTGCAGTGGAGATGGTTTGGCTTGAAAACTTTTCAGAACATATATTACCATTGCTTGCCATTGAAACAGTTAAGTGATATGTTTTTGATATAGCTGATTTTTAAACAACATTGAGGGCAAATGATACATTAAGTATCAAACTGATGGAGAGCAGGCAATTTGGAAATACTGCTTATCTGTACAACATAGTAGCAAGTTAACTTCCACAGCCCTATGTTCCTCATCTGTAACCTGGGATAGTTATTTGCTACCTTCCTGAATATTCATTGGAAGGACTGATGCTGAAGCTGCCTGCAATACTTTGGCCACCTTATGTGAAGAATTGACTCATTTGAAAAGACCCTGATGCTAGGAAAGATTGAAGGGAGGAGGAGTAGGGGACCACAGAGGATGAGATGGTTGGATGGCATCACCGATTCAATGGACGTGAGTTTGATTAAATTCTGGAAGTTGGTGATGGACAGGAAGGCCTGGTGTGCTGTAGTCCATGGGGTCACAAAGAGTCGGACATGATTGAGCAACTGAACTGAACTGAACTAATGTTTATTGTGAGAAATAAGTGAGATATTGTATGTGAAGAATATAAATTTTAGTTGTGTTTACTAAAGTTATAATTATTATTGCTTGCATTTTTAAGATTGTTATTTTTGTATGTTTCCACTATTGCTATTACTACTATTTCCAGGAATCATTAATTAGATAATGAATTTTTAGGTAACTAAGTGAATTTATTCAGTGAATAGTTGATATTGTCTATAGAAAAATACTTACCCCAAACTGATGTTTTAATTTTTCCCATTTTACAAAGCCTTCCCCCCATCTCCACTAATTATACTAGGGTCTTTTTCCTCTTAAGAACATTCCTGATAAAGAATATGAATATATGTTATGGATTTTCCTTTTGCTAATAACAGGGGAATAAGTGTCTGAGTTTTAAAAAGTGACTTAAGAACAGTTTTGTATAAATATGAAAAAATTAGAGGGACTTAAGCATATACCCTTTTGAAATGTTTATATGACTATTCACTTCACTGTAATTGCCTACCACAATTTTTATGGTGGCATTTAAAGTATGTGTGTTTCTCATGAGTATTGATATGGATTATTTAATTTCTAATAACATTTTATATCTGTATAGAGTCAAAAGTCTCCCCCTTCATTAGTGAAATTGATAATTTATGTCCTTGAGTTCAGTTCAGTTCAGTCACTTAGTCGTGTCTGACTCTTTGCAATCCCATGGACATGCCAGGCTTCCCTGTCCATCACCAACTCCCAAAGCTTGCTCAGACTCATGTCCACTGAGTCAGTTATGCCATCCAACCATCTCATCCTCTGTCATCCCCTTCTCCTGCCTTCAATCTTTCCCAATATCAGGGTCTTTTCTAAAGAGTCAGCTCTTCGCATCAGTTGGCCAAAGTATTAGAGCTTCAGCTTCAGCATCAGTCCTTTCAACGACTATTCAGGACTGATTCCTTTAGGATGGACTGGTTGGATCTCCTTGCAGTCCAAGGGACTCTCAAGAGTCTTCTCCAACACCACCGTTCAAAAGCATCAATTCTTTGGTGCTCAGCTTTCTTTATGGGCCAACTCTCACATCCATACATGACTACTGTACAAACCATAGCTTTGACTAGATGGACCTTTGTCGGCAAAGTAATGTATCCCTAGTTTTTATAAATATTCAAAAATTTTACATGGACATTATAATATGATACTTGGCTTCCAAACAAATATATTAAGTGCTTGATATTAATAGGGTAAAGAAAAACTATAATAATTCAGTTTGTATTATAGAACCATTTTTGTGTGAACTGAAGCTATTTTTCTGGAAAGGATGAGCTAATCTTCATTCATTTAGTATGTATCTATTGTGCACCCTCAGTGTACTTGGCAGTCTACTGCTTGTTGAGAATATAAATATTAAAAACAATCAATGTTGTCAAAGAGCTTTCGGAGGAGAAAGACAAACCCAATTTTATTAAAGTGTGATAATTGCAGTGGTAAATGCACAGGGCAGATAGAGGATAGATATCTGCAGATATGTGCAGATAGAAGACAGATATCTGACATGTAATGTCAACTTAAGGAGTTTCCTAGAGTAATACCCAAGTTACTTGTTGCAAGACTTGGAGTTGCCCAGTACATAAAGATATTTGTAGGGATTCAGGGAAATACCTCTGGTTTTGTTTTTCTCTCAATTTATCTTGTTTGAGAGCTACTAGCTTATAGTTGAGGATAAGATGCATGTGGTATCATCTAGGAGAGATCTATTGATTTTTAAAAATATTTTGGAAAAATGTAACAAAGTAGTATTTGTAAAGTTTTGTTTTTGGTCATATGGAGCATACAACATAATTTAAGATCTATTTACATTTTTGTACTAGCAAGAGCTTCATTGTTTTCATTACAAAATTGAG